CTCTCACTAATGAATACGGTGTCTGTGGGTAGGAAGAGTGGACACAAACTTGACAGAAACCTAGCAGTGAGGCATTCAAGTAAGGAAACTATTGTGCCCAGAGCAGCACACCACGCTGGCCTTCAGTGCTATGTCTTTGTTCTTTTTGGGGAATGGTTTGCATCATGAATTACCAGCTAGACTCAGGCCATTGAAACAGTATTAAGATTTTTAGCTAACAGCAGCCTTAAGCAGAACTTCCCAGATCTCCTCTCTTGGCTAGGCTCTGAGGCCTTAATCAAATGCTCATTGAGTTTAACTGGGTATTTGCATTAATGCCCTGTGTAGGTTGGATATCAGACTTTTATGAAAGATAGTTGATACAAATATTTTTTCCACTTGACAATTTCTGTCATTTTGTTTCTAGCTGCCTTAAATTTTTTTTCCCCAGAAACTTCAGAATTTTATGTAATTTACAAATTAATCCCTTGGTCTTTTGGTATAACACTAAATCTCCAAATAAATTCAGGTTATAGAGTCATATTGGCATAGTACCAGCAAGAACATAGCCATCGTTAATCTGTCATTTTGCCTCTGTTTGCCTCAGCTTCATCAGCTGTAAAATGGGGATGATAATAGTACCTTCTCCCAGGCTTGTTGGTGAGAATCAAAGGTTCTGGTATTTTGTAAAGCACTTAGCACAGTACCTGGCACATAGTAAGTGCTTAATAAAGACTTATTTTCTTCTTTTCAACGTTCCTCTATACAGTTTCATTTTATCACATAAGAATCCCATGGATTAAATGATCATTTAAAAAATTTTTTTTTAACATTTTTATTTAAAGTTTTGAGTTCCAAATTCTGTCCCTCCCTGAGAATAGTAAGCAATTAGATATAGGTTATACATGTACAATCCATATTAGTCATTTCATACAATTAGACTCAAATGAAAAAAAAGTAAAAAATAGCATGATTCAGTCTGTGTTTTATCAGTATCACTTCTTTCTCTGGAGGCTGTTAGTATGTTTTATCATTAGTCCTTTGGGATTGTTTCAGATCATTTTATTGCTGAGAATAGCTAAATCATTCACAGTTCTTCACTGAACAGTATTGCTGTTACTGTGTGTAAAGTCCTCCTGGTTCTGTTCACTTTACTATGCATCAGTTCATGTAAGTTTTTCCAGATTTTTCTGAAATCATCCTGCTTGTCATTTCTTATAGCACAGCAATATTCCATTACAATCACATACTACAGCTTGTTTAGCCATTCCCCAGCTGATGAGCATCCCTTTGATTTCCAATTCTTTGCCACCATAAAAGGAGCTGCTATAAATATTTTTGTACAGATAGGTTCTTTTCCCTTTTTTGGATATCTTTGGGATATAGACCTAGCAGTGGTATCACTAGATCAAAGGGCGTAGTTCCCAGCTGCTCTAAAGAATGGTTGGATCAGTTCACAACTCTATCAACAAAGCATTAGTTTCCCAATTTTCCTACATCTCCTCCAAAATCCAACATTTTCCTTTTTTCTCCTATTAGCATTCTGATAGGTATGAGGGTACCTCAGAGTTGGATTTCTCTGCTTCTCTGCTCAGTAGTGATTTAGAACATTTTTTTCATTTGTCTATAGATAGCTTTGATTTCTTTGTCTGAAAACTGTTTGTTCATATCCTTTAATGACTTATCAATTGGGGAATGACTTGTATTTTTATAAATTTGACTCAGTTCTCTATATATTTGAGAAATAAATAAGGCTTTTATTAGAAATACTTGTTGCAAACTTTTCTTCCCAGTTTTCTGCTTTCCTTATAATTTTGGTTGCGTTGGTTTTGTTTGTGCAAAACCTTTTTAACTTTATATGATCAAAATGATCTATTTTACATTTTGTAATCCTCTCTATATCTTCTTTGGTCTTAAGTTCTTCCCTTATCCACACATCTGACAGATAAACTATTCCAGGCTCTCTTAATTTGCTTATGGTGTCACCCTTTATGTATAAGTCATGTACTCATTTTGACTTTATCTTGGTATACAGTGTGAGATATTGGTGTATACCTAGTTTCTGCCGTGCTGTTCTCCAGTTTTCCCAGCAATTTTTGTGAAATAATGAGTTTTTGTCCCAAAAGCTTGTTATATACTAGATTACTCTGGTCATTCCACTGATCTACCACTCTATTTCTTAGCTAGTACCAGATTGTTTTGATAATTACCGCTTTATAATATAGGGATCTGATATGGCTAGGCCACCTTCTTTCGCATCTTTTTTTCATCGATTCCCTTGATATCCTTGAGCTTTTGTTCTTCAGATGAATTTTGTTATTATTTTTCTTAGCTCTATAAAATATTTTTTTGATAGTTTGATTGGTATGGCACTGAATAAATAGATCAATTTAGGTAGAATTTCATTTTTATTATATTGGCTTGGCCTACCCATGAGCAATTAATGTTTTTCCAGTTAAGATCTAACTTTATTTGTGCAAAACATGTTTATAGTTGTGTTCATTTAGTTCCTGAGTTTGTCTTGGTAGGTGGACTCCCGAGTAGTTTATGTTGTTTTACAATTCTTTATAAAATGGAATTTCTCTTTCTATCTCTTGCTGTTGGTCAATGATCATTTCTTTTTTTTTCTTTTTTCTTTTTTTACTTTATTTTTTTAACATTCCTATTGAACATTTGCACATTAGTGATGTTGTAAGGAAGAATTTGAACCAATAGGAGGAACCACAAGAAAGAGGAAACAAAACAGAAGAAAAAAGAGCAAACAGTCTGCTTCCATCTGCATTCAGATTCCATAGTTCTTTCTCTGGATGTGGATAGCATTTTCCATTATGAGACTTTTGGAGATATCTTAGATCCTTGCATTGCTGAGAAGGGCTAAGTCTATCAAAATCAGTCTTCACACAGTGTGGCTGTTACTGTGTATGACGTTCTTCTGGTTCTGCTTACTTCACTCAGCATCAGTCCATACAAATCTTTCCAGGTTTTTCTGAAGTCTGCCTGCTCATCGTCAGTGATCTTTTCTATGCAGATGATTCTCATGTCTCTTTCTCCAGCTCAAACTTCTTACATCTCCAGTTGCCAGAACATTCTGAACTAGAGGTCTAGTAGACATTTTAAACTCAACATGCCCCAAACGAAATTCATTATTTTTCCCCCAGACCCTGCCTCTTCCTAACTTTTCTATCAGTGTAGTGTACCACGATCCTCTAGAGCCCCCAGACTCTCCACCTAGGCATTGTTTTCGACCTTTCCCCTCTACCCCCCAAATATTCAGCTGCCAAGTCCTGTCTGTTCTCTTTGTAACACCGATCATATCTCCCCTTTCTTTCCTCTGACACTGCCCCCTCTCAGGTACAGTCCTCACACCTGGACTGTGACAGGAGCCGGTTGATTGGTGTCCCACCTTCAAGTCTCTTGTCTACTCGGCTAACAAAGTGATCCTCCCAAAAGCTGCAGACACACACACACACACACACCCTTCCCCTCATGGTCCCCTCTTATATCTGTGATCAAATGCAGAATCATTTATTTGGCTCTTTTAACCCTTCCTACCTTTCCAGTCCTCTTACTTATTTGTCCCCTCCGTGTACTCTTCCATCCCGTGATAACTGGCCGTCTTGCTGTTCTTGTACAGGGCATGCTGTATCCTGCCTCAGGGCATTTTCTAGTTCCCCATGCTTGGGACTCTCTCCCTCCTCCTCAGCACCTCCTGGTTTCCCTTATTTCTCAGCCAAATTCCCACCTTCGGCAAGGAACCTTTCCCAGTCCTCCTTAATACACACCTTCACTCTGAGATAACCTCCAGTTTATCTTGTATGTAACTTGTTTGTACCTATGTTTTTGCATGTTATATTGTGAGCACCTTAAAAGCAGAGCCTTGTGTTTGGCCATTCTCTGTCCCCAGCACTTGGCACAGAGCCTGGCGTATAGTAGGCTCTTAATAAGGGCTTGCTGACTGATTTCTTTGAATAGTGTTGTAGTGAGCTGTATCTATATTCAGTTGCTTTTGATATATAATCTAGTTTGATAAAGACCCTGCTTACCTTCTTTGAAAAGATACTGAGAAGATTTCTCAGGCTGCTTTCAGCTGATATATTTTTAAATACTTTGATTTACGGGCAGTCAACAGCACTTGGACATTACAGCACATCAGACCTACTGGAACCCTCTATTGCCTGGAAGCAGTTAGTGATGGCCCAGCTCCCTTTCTCCTTTCAGAATGGGTGCCGTAGCTGGTAGATTACATTTATCTCCTTAGTCATGTGGGCTTTTCTGTATCCTGTCTGTATATTTCTAACTCTTTACAAAAGGAGGCATGATGGAGAAGCTAATGCTTTTAAGACTAGAAGAGAAAATGAAAGAAGCTGACCACAGGCCATTTTCATTTGTTTTGTTTTGTAGTATATAGTCTGATTCTAAATCTTCATAGTTTGTGTTCAGTGTGCACGAGGCAGTCAGTTTTCTTAATGGTTTCCTGAATATTCTTCCTGGTAGAAAGCTACAAAAGGAAGCATGGAGTAGCCCAGTGTAATTACGAATGCATTTTCAGTATGGACTGCTGTATTTATCAGTAGCTTTGGTTCTTGGATATTCTGCAGCAGCAAAGGCCAAACAATATGGCCACTATTTGCTAGGGACGTCTGTGACTTGGGCAGCTGGGCAAACAGTCAACAAGCACTTATTTTTTTAGGCAGTTAGGGTTAAGTGACTTGCCCAGGGTCACACAGCTAGTAAGTGTCAAGTGTTTGGTGTGAGTCCGGATTTGAACTTCGGGTCTCCTGATTTCAGGGCCGGTGCTCTATGCACTGCGCCACCAAGCTGCCCCACAACAAACATTTGTTAAGTACCTACCTTTGCCAGATGGCTAAGGCGCTTGGAATACATGGATGAAAATGAAATTGACCTGGCCTTCAGGGAGCTTGCTCAGGTATTTGTTAGGAGTCAGACAAAATATGTCAATGAGGTTAGAAAAGGCTCTGTCTAAAACACTGACAGAAACTTGTTTGTTTTCCTGCTCGTAGTGGTAGTCGCTCCTCCAAGACCTTCAAGCCAAAGAAGAACATTCCAGAAGGTTCTCACCAGTACGAGCTCCTGAAACACGCGGAAGCCACCCTTGGGAGCGGCAACCTGCGGACGGCGGTTATGCTTCCGGAGGGGGAGGACTTAAATGAGTGGGTTGCAGTGAACAGTAAGTGGCTGCTCTCATCTCTCACTCTAGCATTCGCTGCTGTGAACATGTGGCTTTGCACTTGGCTTTAGTAGGATTTTGTCCTCATGAGGTATTTAGGAACAGATCCCTGAAGTTTCTTATCTGCCGCAAAATAGCGGCCTTCTTTGACTGAAAGTGTGTTTCAGATTTGCAATTAGGTAGCCACGGTACAAAGATGAATTACATGCGTCCATACTTTTACCTCCTTGGGGGGGAATGATTTTTCAAGTACAGAGTGATAATGTTTTTGGTAGGTGGTGGTGAAGTGATGTGAGGAAAGGATGGAGATGTAAGGGGGTTTAATATAGAGGTTTCTTAAGTATTCATGAATGAATTGATTTTCTTTTTACCTCATAGAAATTGGTGTAAACCTTGTCACCGAAAAATACAATCCAATTGAAGGAGTGACCTGAATTATCTAATCTCTAAATTAGGAAAAGCCCTACAATAGAATAATAGTTTGATTATTGCTGATTATGATTTGAATGAGACTAGTGGGTCTGCTGGCAGTGCTGTTGGCCACGGGGAGTTTGTGGGAACTGCAAAGATTGTCAGGAGATGGACAGGTAGACAGAGTGGAATTTGTGACTAAATTCCCTTGGTTGGAATTCTAAAATCTCCAGGTAACTCTGAAGAAGTTCATTGATTTGCCTAATGCTAGGGAAGTAGTCCTACATTGTCGACACCCAGATTGGAGTCGGAGCAAGGTACAGATCTCCTGTGATGCTGTTCTTTGGTTACTGATTTGCTCTGCTGGGAGGATGCCTTGTCCTCACACTGCTCACAGCCTTCTTCTGTGCCTGGCCCTCTTCCCTCCCTTGTAACATCAGCGTTTATGTTTATGACCTCTTATCTTAGATGAGAAGTTCCTTTAAAATGGAAGTCACGTGGTCTCCTGTGCCTTATATCTAGTAGGTGCCTGGTAATGCATGTGAGTTTCCTCTCCCTCTGAAAGGATGTTGTCATCCTCCCCCCTTGAAGAAGTAAAAATAAAGTCGAGTTCCTGCTTATATTCAACACGTGTATTGTAGACCAACTGTGCACGACCAGTGAGCTAGGTGCTGGGGAGTCTAGTGGGCTACTATAGCACATGTACATGTCTTTACAAGACCAGATGATGTGCTGCCATCCCCCTGCCCTCCCCGGTATGAGAAGAGTGAAAGACAAATGCTTTGCTGAGTCCCAAAGGAAAGGGCAAGGATTGCTCCTTCCCAAGGGATAATCAGGGAAAGAGAGATTCATGCAGGGGGTCATCCGGTCTGGGCCTGAAAGGAGTGTGTGCACTTCCACAGAGTACAGACCTTGCCATTCCAGGTGGAGAATCAGAGCCTCCTAGGTGGAGTATCTAGACATGTTTGTGGAGGGGGGAAGAGTATGAAATAACATGAAAAGCTAAGGTGAAGCCAGATTGGGAATTCTAGGTTTTGGAATCTGTCAATGCTAGGCTTAGACATTTGAACTTGATTTAATATTCATTGAAAGGTTTAAGCAGAGGAGTAGATCTGTTTTTCTCTGTGCACAAGTTAAGATGCATCTTGATACAGTATACTTTAAAGGATTAATTGGAGGCTAGAGACTGGTTTGGGGGCCACTGAGAAAGTTCATGAAGTGGGAATAGAAAGGAAGGGATGGGTTGGAAGAGTAATGTAGACGTTTTATTAGATAGGACTTAAAAATTGATTGTGGGTAGGGGGTGAGAGGGAAAAAATAATGAAAGATTGAACATTTAGGCAGTGGTGGTGTGACTAATTAAAAACAGGGAGGTCAGAAGGGAGAGTAATTTTGGGTAAAAAAGATACTAAATTTGGCTTTTCAGTATGTTGAGTTATTGGCTGGAGCATTCAGCTAGAAAGGTCCAGTTTTAAATGCTGAACTGAAGCTTCTCAAAACCGTCAGGCCTGGAGGTAGAGAGGATAAAGTTGTGGGGATGAATGAGACAGGGTAGGTGGGAAGAGGGTTGAGGACACAGCCTCGCGGAGCACCACCATTAAGGGCTGGGAAAAGGAAAGGAGAACTGTTAGGGGTCAGAAGAAAAACCAGGAGTATATAATGTCTTATAATCCATTGGAGGGAAAACATTTAAAAGAACAGTATGCTCAGAAGCATACAACAGCTGAGGAAAAATCAAGAAGGAGGAGGATTGAGCAAGTTGTTGAAGGTGGATTTGATAGAGGCAGCCCCAGGTCATTGGTGTCCTTTGAGAGAACAATTCGGTAGCATGGTGAGATTGGAATCCAGACTGCAGAAGAGTGAAGTGGGAGGAAGAAATAGAAGTTGGTCATAAAGAGGCGGAGGAGATATGAGGTGTGGAAGGATCAGAGGAGGCCTGAATACGTGTGTAGGCAGATGGCACAGTGCCAGTGGATTTGCAAAGATTGTAGATGTCTCCATGAGCGAGGAGACAGGAAAGGAGGAGCAGAGAATAGGTCAAGTTACTAAAAAACTCTGAGATCTAGAGGAGAATTGAGAGGAGTCGTGCCAGATGGACTCTGTCTTTTCAGTGAAACAGCTAGATTGTCTGCTGGGAGCATGAGAGCTGGAGGCAGAATGAAGGGCTGGAAGAGAGAGGCATTGCCGATCATTTCAGACCAGCTAGTCAGATACCGATGTTTGTAGGTGATGAAGCTAAGACTCAGAGAGATGAAATCATTTGCCAAAGTCATGTAGAAGTTAGTGGCAGAGAGATCTCTTCTGATTCTCAGTCGGTGCTCTCTTCAAACTCCTCAAAAGAGTTTAAATGTTGGCCTTGGGGAGTGAGGCAAGAAACAAATGAGCCTGGAATGGGATTGCTGAATAGCATTGACGGGCTGAAGGCAAATGGAGAAACATTGATGTCCAGCTGGCTAGTGGGAGTTCAAGGGGTGCCTCTTGTGTATGAGTTGGACTGTCTGGCTACAGTAGTCTTTTCTGACATGATTCTACGATGGATCTGTGATCTTGTTCATTTGGAAGTTGCCTCCCCTGTGGCTGAGTAGATAGAGAATGTGGACTCAGACACTTACTAACTGCGTGACCCTGGGCAAGTCACTTAACCCTGTTTGCCTCAGTTTCCCCATTTTTACAGTGAACTGGAAAAGGAAATGGCAAACCACTTTGCCAAGTGTCTTTGCCAAGAGAATTCCAAATGGGGTCAGAAAGACTCAGACACAGATTAAACAATTCTTCTGACATAGCTCCCAGTGCACCTGGGCCTTCCAGGGTTGCTGTTGTTTCCATGTTTCTACCAGGTTTGCCATGGACAGTGTGATAGAGACCTTCTTTGTTTCTCTTCACTTGGGGAATGTAGTTTTTGAAAGACTCCTTATTCCCTCCTAGCACCATTTCAATAGATAAAAGGGGCAAGCCCATCCTTAAAAATGATCTTAGTGCATTCTGTTGTTGAGCTGCTTAAAGTCAAGATATTTGGGGTGGAACGTATCTTTGAAAAGGATTACACGTTGGGAAATTTATTTTGGTTTTTTGAAAATGTTACCATTTTATTGAGGAAAATCTTATTTGTGACATAAGCCCACAAAAATAAAAGACTTTTCTAACTTTACTTCAAAAGGCTATAAACTCTAATTAACTGACTCTCTGTAGACCTGATAATAGCAGACGTTCCAGGATTTAAGTAAGACGAGGTGCCGCTCATAGGTTTATTTCAGACTATGGTGGCCGTGTCATCCGGGTTACTTTTCCATCTTCATTTATTTCATAAAACTGAGGGGGGAAGCCCTATTTGACACATAAGGAAAACAAAAAAAAATTGGGATGAATGTGATTAAAATTTAATTTAACTTTTCTGTTCATTCCGTTTCCATGAACTAACTCTTGAAATACTTTGCAGCTGTGGATTTCTTCAACCAGATCAATATGCTTTATGGGACCATCACTGACTTCTGTACTGAGGAGAGCTGCCCCGTGATGTCGGCTGGCCCAAAGTAAGCTGTGTAGGACTGTTAACTCAGTGTACATTTGCTCTTTATTTCATTACTCTTGGGAAAGAGAAACAACTTAAACATCCAGGCAAAAAAGAAGTACTTAAGTCTGTGTGACTATTCCTGGTCGTGTTGGTCTCCTGTTCCAGATCTTGTGATTCTGCATGGCTTAATGCTTTAAGCTTAAACTCCTTAGCCCGCATTCAGGGGCTTCTGGGCCTTGTCCCTGGCCTGAACCTGCCTTTCCGACTTCATCTCCTGCCGTGTGGTGCAGTGGAAAGAGTGTTGGCCCTGAGGCTTAGCTTTGCCAGGCAGCACCTCTGGCTGCTCCTGATGGCATTGGACGAGGTGACTTGGGAGCTGAGCTGGGTTTCAGTGATCCTGAGAGGGCTCTTGGGTTCTCTGAATGCGCCTCAGGCTCTCTTGCCTCAGGGCCTCTGCTTCTTGTGGCTTGGCAAGGAAAAGGGCCACCTCTCTGTCAGAGCGTGGGGGAGAGGAGGAGAGATTGGAAGATGGTGTTGAGGGGTTTTGAGATGAAGAGAATGGCAAAAGTGGCTCATGTCACATGCCCTCAGTTTTCTCAATAAAGTAAGAAGCAAAATCTTCAGCTTGGGAGAGAAGGTGCAGGACGCTTGAGGAGGGAGCAGTTTGGAGTAGATTCTTTAGGGAGTGAGAGAGAGAGACCCGTATGGGAGGTATGAAAGGACTGTCTGCCAGACTGTGGGGAAGGCCCAGCTGAGCATGGGTAACGGGCATTGGTAGCATGCCCAGGCAGCACAGGTGGGAGATGTTAGTCACCAGATCTGACTTTAAGTGATTTTTGCATATTTCCAGAAAGGCATAGCTACTCTCCAAGAAATCTCCACATGGAAAGTCACCAGAAGGTACCATGAGTTCTGAGGACAGTCCTCACAGTATCTCCATTGTTGTTAAGGTGATCTTGGACATAAGTCTCTTCACCTCCAGGGGCTCAGTTTTGTCATTTATAAAAGAGTAGGGTTGGATATAGTTGGTAAGGTCCCCCACTGCAGATCTGCAGACCCTCAGCTCCTGCCATTGATCATCTTGGAGAGATCCCAGAGTTGCTTAGAGGATGAGAGAAGAGAAGGAGTGACTTTTGTCCATGGTTGAGTGGCTAGAATATGGGAGAGGTCAGAATTGAACCCAGCTCTTCTGATCCTTTAGCTACTCACTGTACCACATTGCCTCTCAAATAGTCAAATATATTGACTGAAGAAGTTAGAAAAGCTTGCATGAAGCCATTCGCATTAAAGAATCAAAGAAATTTAATAGACAACAGTGGGCTTGTTTTCTGTCCCCTTCCAAACCTATCTCAAGTTTTGATATCTTTGTTTTGCTTTTTTATGGAGTAGTGCGTTACCTTATAGTTATGCCTCCTGTGTTTATTGTTTCTTGCTACATCTAAATTAAGAAACATAGTCATTAGCGTTCCACTGAACTTGAAGAAATCAGCTATCCATTTTATTGTAGTGACTAAAGGAGTTTTGGCTACTTAATTATTATTGTTTCCTGAGGCATTTATATATCTGTAAACCAAAAGAGTGTAATTTTTTGCCTTCCTTGTCCACCCACCACTGCTTCCCCGCCCCGCAGCTGCCCTTCTCAGGAAAGTTACCACAGAATATGTTTGGGAGTAGAAGAAAAAAGACAGATGTGTGTTTTCAGCAGTTGACTATCCACCAGTTATTTTTCCTTATTGCTCCTTTGTCATTTCAAAAGCAAAGGCAGGTATTTGTATAACATAAAAGGAAATGCCTTACCTTGGATATTGAAGTTAACGAGGGCCATAATTCTTACTGCAAAAACATGTCTCCTACATAAGCTGATTGATGTGCATAGTGAATCAAGTGAATACTTTTGAGGTGTGTCAGATCATTCATTACTTTGTCAGTTACTATTTTGTTGTAAAGTAACTGACTTTGGCAAGACTTCCCAACAACCTCCAGGCAAAACTGAGTGCTACCCTTGCCCTTTTGACAGCTGTGAGCATGGGAAGAGCTGGAAATGTCCAAGCTCCAAGGCCAGAAGTGCTAAGTTAGCCCTCTGTATGTTATCCGGAAGGGCGGTGGGTCCTGGTGGCTGTTAAGCCATTGGAATCTCATTTTGTTGTGTACAATTTTCCAAGCATCAGTTCAGTAGAATAGAAGAGGATCTCAGAATTCAGTCTTCACAGGGGTTTGGTGCCAGTGCTGAGGTAGGGACCTCAAGCTCAGGTCTTTGGTAGAAAGTGATACTCTGCTGCCTGAGTTTGGGGTGGGGAGGGAGGCAGCAATTATTTCATAGCACTTTTCTTTTTGATTTTTGATATCAAACCTTAGGACTTGGGGGAGGGCTGCATAAGTAGGTCACTGTTTGGCCAGAGAATATTTTCATGGAATTAGAACAATATTTTTCAGAGTAACTAAGCCATTGAACAGTTTGCAACTTGAAATATATTAACAGAATTCATAAATTTTTCTCTGGGATATTTGCAGGAATAGTTGGGACAATTGGGAAAATCTTAGAGCAAAATTGAACCCATTTAGTGTTTTTTTTTTAAATATCCTCTCAATGGAATATACTCCTGAAGGATGCGGGGCTGCTTCATTTTTAATCTTTGTTCTTGAAGTGCTTGGCATAGCGCTTAATGAATGTTGAATTGAGTCAGGTACTCCACTTCCTGCACATACAGGAGGTTAGTCCAGGTACTCTGAACTTGCGCTAATCTTCTTCCTTAAGCAATGATAGGATCCCTTTGGAGAAGTACTTTAAGCATATACTAATAAATCATCAGGAAAAAAGTACTAAGTTTTCCTAGAGTTTGTACATCCTGGCGATTGCCTATTTCTCTCCAAGAAAACTAAGTTCACTCTACCTTAGATAGCACTGTCAATGAAAGAAGACAGTGAAATATTCCTTAGGAGTGAAATTTCCCTGCTTCTTCCTCTTTTCATTACTCCTTCCTAACTGTCACCCACAAGTTACGTTGTAGTATGTTTCTTCTGTAGTGTACCAGGTGTAAAAGGGAAAATATGGGGGTTGGTGATGGTCTTAAGGACTGCTGTGTTGTACTCATTGATAAGGAAAAATGAGGGGCAGGGCCATCTTCAGTCATCCTGATCTGTGTCTGGCCACCAGACCCAGGTGGCTCCAGAGGAGAGTGAGGCTGGTGACTTTGCACAGCCCTGCCTCACTTAAATGAGATTCACTTGCAAGTCATGGCACCACCTTCCTGACGTCATGGTCTTCTTCAAAAAGGAATAACAAGGACAAATAACAAGGGAGAACAAGGGAGAGGAGTCCTAACGTGAAGATGTGGGGCTTGAGTTCAAATGTGTCTCATCTTGGGCAAGTTTTTTAAACTCTTTGTACCCCAGTTTCATCATCTGCAAAATGAGGCATAACTCCAAAGGTGTCTCCAGCTCTGAGTTTTTGGTCCTTACTGAATACATAAAAATATCTTTGCTGGCTTTCAAACTTGCCCATTCTTCTGATAGTATAGAGATACTGGAATTGTCACTTGCTTTTCACTAGCTGTTTTGCTTCACAGTTCCATAGAACTATTTAACAAAGATGAGATGTGATTTATTTCATTTGTTTTTACTTTGCAGTCAGGATATTTTGCCTCAAAATTTAAACATTTTTTAGGAGAGATGCCTGGAAGGACACTGGAACCTGAGTTTTAGCACATCTAAAAGCCATTCATTGCCTTCCATGACTACTTGAACAGTTGAGGTCATTTTTGTCAGCCTCTTTAAATAGTTTTGTCTTCTCATCAGGATAATCGAGCTGTTTCCCTTTCCTTATCTCTTCTTCGGTCTCATGCTCTGTGACTTGCAGAAAGCAGAATGCTTTCTCAACTCTTGTCTCAATAAAGAGCAAAAATTTTGGATTATGCAACGATTTGTTCTAATCCTACATGTTTTAATAATTTGAAATTTTGATCTTTGTTGTCTAAGGAGGTTGTAGGCTTGGACAGTATTTCATTTAGGTGTGGCCTTTTGAAAGGTAATGGGTTCTTTTAATAGCAGATTGCCTACAGGGGGTGTTTGGCAGTGGACTCTTATCTTGAGAACAGGACCATTTGGTATGAGATATTGGGTGGGTTGACTTTCTAATGTTAGTCCTGTCAGTATCACTGTATGTGGGTGTTTTGAGTTATCTTCAGTTTATCTCTGAAAACAGATATTTCTCTTCTTGCCATTTAAATATATTGGGGTCTGGGGGCAGGTCATGCATTTTGAAAATTAAAAAGCACCTGCTGCTTAAGGAGAATAGGTTTCCAAGAACCTCATTTAGCTGGGAAGCCACGTTTCTGTGCCTTGGAACTACTTGTGTGGACATGAACGTATAGGTAGGTTATGTTTATCTTGTTACTCTCCCCCTCCGCCTTTCATTGGTGTCCCTTCTATAGTATTTTCAAAATAGGGCTGCTTTTCCTTTTGTTAGATTGGCCTTAAATGTTAGAAGAGACTTCGTTTTGACCTATCCATCTGGCTTGGTAGTATGATTTACTGTTAAGTCACAAGTAGCATAAATGATTAAAGCCAGTGGATAGATAGCAGTTTGAGTATTGGTGATAGTCTTAGGACTGTCTCTTTAAACTATTATTATTTAACATGTCATCAGATAAAGAAAAGAGAGCATGCTTTTATGAAATATCACTTCTCTGGCCTCTGAGATTAGTAGAGTACCAGTAGTTTATTGATAGTAGGATAATGCAGACATTCTTCAAGATGAAGGGAAGCAAAACAGCCCAGCTCCCTCACAACATTTCCACAATGATTTTTTTTCCCTTAAGGCATAAGGCCAAGAATCAACAAATCCAAGGAGAAACTACAGTTTCCAAAGGTGGATTTTGCCAGCCCAGGTCCAAATAAGGACACAGTCAAAAGCCTGTGGACACTAAGGGCTGGGCACAGCCAGAAAAGCCTAGAGCCTAAAGCTGTGTGATGGGGGCAGGGACAGGAGGGCCTAGATCAGGAAACATGGAGCCTGTAAATATGTCACCCTGACCTGAAGCCAAGGTGCAGAAGCCTGTGTTGGTTTTGACCAGAAGGGTGAAAGTGAAGAGTCATGGAGGGATTAAAAAGAGAGAGGACCTGGGAGCAGTTGTATAACACGTTGATGGTCTTTTTTTTTTTTTTGGCTAGGCAGTGGGGTTAAGTGACTTACCCAGGGTCACACAGCTAGTCTGAGGTCAGATTTGAACTCAGGTCCTCCTGAATCCAGGGCCAGTGGTCTATCCACTGTGTCACCTAGCTGCTCCTACGTTGATGATCTTAAGAGAAAAAAGAAAAGGGAAGGGAAAAGGAATACACCAGAGGAGAAAGAGGGAGGAAGGGGATGGAATTTACTATCTTGCATAATCAGGAGTTTGGTGTAGAAATACGTTATACTCAGAGAATCAAGAGGAAAAGAAGAAGAGAAGGGGGGACTGAGAGGGAGGATAGATTCAGAAGTTGTTAATCTTAAGCCACAGAATCTCTAGCTTTGGTAGGTGGAGCATGAAGAGAGTGAAAGGAAAGACAGACAGACACACACACACACACCACACCTTTAAAATTTGTAAAGTGCTTCACAGATATCGTTTTAATTGAACCCAGGAATGACTTTGAGAGGCGGATGCTATTTCCCTCATTTTACAGATGATAAAAACCGAGGCAAATTTGTGGGTCAGTTACTTGCCCAGGGTCACACAGCTGGTGTCTGAGGCTGGATTTGAACTTGGGTGTTCTTGACTCCAGGCCCAGTGCTCTGTGCACTGTGGTTCCCCCCCTCATCAATATAATGTCATTTTTAAAAAATGATTTGGGGTAAGGTGTGCACAAGCTATTCCTTTTGTTGTTGTCATCTTCTATCCCTTCCTTTTAAAAAGGACATAGAAAAATGGAGAGGCCCAGAGCTAAACAGGTCATTTCTCATGAAAAGGAGAAGGCAGGGGTATGCAGGTTCTGAAAGGAAGGATTGATTTGAAGTGGATGGGCAAAAGATGTGCTCTTTATGCCCTCAGAAGATCAAAACGCTTTTCCACCACCCAGAGTTGGGGATAAATAATTTGGGGTTGAGAGGTACTTTACAGGTCATCTCATATGAGGAAGCTATTAACCCAGTAATCTTCTGGTGAGCTTCCTCTTTTCTGAATTACATACTTTACTTCTATTAAGTCATTAGACATGTCATTTTAATTAGGCAATACACATCTCAATTCTTCCTCCTCAAATTTATATCAGACAGTGCTTTTATACTTTGGATTCAAAATAATGGGGGAAGAACTCAAAATGAACTTGATAGCTCTTCAGGTTGTAATTTACCAGCAGTACTTGTGTTGTGTACACCTCAAATTTATGATAATGGAATGGGGTATTTGAAGATAGAACGATCTCGTTTGGTAGAGTAAGAAGGGTATCTGGATTACTTTCCTAACCAATTCATATTAAATTAGTAGTAGATGGTAGAAACGTTGTCTTGGGAAAGTGACATCAGTGTAGAATTTGAGCTTTCATTAATTCCTTAATGAAACATCTGAATTCTCAAATGTCATGTTTCAAAACAATAATTCTTAAAGTTAGTCAGTTCTTTGCAGGTTTCTGTATTGCCAGTAGTGGGGGTTTTTTTTGTTTGTTTTGTTTTGTTTTTGGCCACTTGTATATCAAAGGTTTTTAGAAAAGTTTGTTGAACTATTTCCCTTATCTATACCTTTACCACATCCCTCCAAAAGCCCTAAACCCAACAACAGATGCCTCAAAACAAACACCTTAAAACCAGCTGGAAAGACCTAACTTAGGTGGGAGGAATTCTTTTCAGCTCAGTAAAGCAGGCTACTGAGCTTAGAAAGAAATCACCTTGGAACAGGGGAGTAAACAGTTCATTCTGCTCTGATATTTATATAATTGTCTGACCTAAGAGATATGAATGAAAGGGAGTCGAGTGAAAATAACAAATAGGGGGTGGGGAGGCCTGGCCTTGAAGTGGAAAGACTGACATGACCATGACGGCAGCTGCCCAGTAATGGCAGTTGGCCATAAAAACCCAAAGCTAAATGGAATATGAAGATGATCACATCAGTCCTGATAATTTTTTTTTTTAGATTATTTGGGGAAGAAGATTGGATTACTTTTAAAGCAAGTACGTGTATGTTGACATTTTATGTCTTTTCTAATTCAGATATGAGTATCATTGGGCAGATGGAACCAACATAAAGAAGCCTATTAAGTGCTCTGCACCAAAGTATATCGATTACCTGATGACCTGGGTACAGGACCAGTTGGACGATGAGACTTTATTTCCATCCAAAATAGGTAAAATCACTGGTGGAGTCTGGATGCTGCGAGGTCATGTGGAATTCTTTGTGCTTATGGGAGCACTGCCTTTCTCCTCACTCATTTGTTTCTGCTCCCTGCTTTCTTTCTCTCCTGCCTCATGGGGGTGTTTTGCTTGCACTGATAAGAGTAGAGTAACTCCAAAGGAAATATTAACCTACTTCCTAATCTGAAAGGTAAAGTTTATAAATCTATTAGGTTTTTAAGAAAAAGTTGGTTCAGAGTATTTTGGTTTGGACCTGTGATTTCATTAGTGTATAGAATTCACAGTACAGTAATTCCATTTCCTGATGAAGATTAGGAAATCATCTGTAGTTTGGTGTTATATTGTTTAGAGCACCAACAAATTAGGTAACAGTCAGTTAGTATGTCAGAGGCCAAGCTTGAACTCAGATCTTCTGACTCCAGTACTCTCAAAATATACCCTGCTGCCTCTCACTAAGTTTTCAGATTACAACATTTTTACATGTGTTTAAGGTAGATTAAAGAAAAAATTAACTTCCTACCCTCCTCATTAATATTATTCGATTGGTACCATTAAAAGGCATATGGTATTCTAGATAAAAAGTATTCATGAATTTGTTATCTGTTCAAAGACAGCTCTTTTATATGATAGAAATGACTGTCATCATAAGAGTAGTAGATGGGGACTTTTTATGTAACATGTCTTTCAGGAAGTGAACTCATTTAAAGAACAAAACAAAGTAGAAAAAAAGACTTGTTGGTAGGCAAACAGTTGCTATTATTGGCTATGATTTTTTTTTCCCAGCCAAAGACAAGGTTTATTAGAACATCCTCATATTGGGCAGACTCTTAAGGAATCTAAGCATTTGTATCAGTAATGCAGGTGGGCCAGATTTTAAGAATCTGATCAGTGGCTAGATTTTAAGAATCTGAGGACCTTAATGGCGGCCAAGATGGATCTTATATACAGAAAGACTGTGGGAGGGATCTAGGAGTGGCCAGGTAGTCTAGGGTGACTGGAGTTGAGGTCTAGAGAGGATCTGGATGGGAGTGGTCAGTAAACTGGGGTGACAGTGAGGTAATAGAACACCAGAGACCTGGACTACAGGGTCAGGGGAGAATGGAGTCTAGATACGATTAAGTGTGGGAAGTGGCCTGGGGCCATCTGGAGGTAATAGACCTTGGAGGGCTAGGTAACAGAATTGGGAGATTGAGCATAGCTAGTTGTTAGGATTATAGCCTCAGGCAAGTGCCAGATATTAGGCCTTGTGGGAAAGTCCAGGGTTTTTCCTTTTTGGGGTCCAGCTCCCATCCTCATCATTCCTCCCTCGAACAAATGAGACCCAGATTCTTTTGGGGTAAAAGGTGAAGATCTTGGCTTCTGAAACTGCTTCCTGCTGGCCAGGGGCATAGAGCTGTCCCTGCCTTGGGGGTCCCGAAGAGGTTGACTGGAACCCAGCGCAGGCTGCATCCACGGAACGATGGGGGACACTGGCTGTTTGCTGCTAGCTGTAGGTGAATGGCCTGTAGTCTGGAAAACACAAATCTGACCAAAAAGACTGCTGAGCCCAGATATAGGGAGAAGTAAAAGTGTAAGAGCCTCATTAAAATCATTTACATTGGACCTGCAGGATTATCTGATCTTGCTACTTTTTCTAAAGTTTAAGAAACACTTTTGCTGGTAGAAGTTTTCCACCCCTGGGTTCAGTAGTTATACAAATGCATTTGCCAGAGGCTGACTTTCACTTCAGTTATCATTGAAATTCTCCCCAAACCAAACTGAAGATGTTTCTGATTTAATTTCAGTTGTTTGGGGGTATTGAATGACTACACATTCAGGTCAAAACAGCAAGATCTCACATGCTTGCATTGATCTTTTACTGACTACTTGATTAGCTATGATTTTTGAGACACTTTTTGAGTCCTTTAACTCTTGGGGGGGGGGTTTGAGTCCTCTGCCAACTATGGAGACTTAAATGTCCACTTTGTATTACTGTGATTTGCATATGTGCATTCAGCCTGTGATATTTTTAGCTTCTGGGATATTTAGAGAGAAAGCTGTTGGCTCTTTGTAGTAACTTTGCATTCTTATTTCCTTTGCTTGCCATGTAATTTGCTCGCCCGTGTAAGACCTTGTGTCTTGATCATCTCTATTGCAGGTTCTACAGTGATTTATTTCTATTTTTCTAACTTAATGGTTAATGATCCTGTAAATGTGCTAGAAGATATGAAGAATTAGTTGATTGAGCAGGGATCACATTTAATTCTTGGACAGACATCATAGAGAAATGAAAAAAATTAGCTGGTAGAGAAGAGAGGGAATAGAATAGAGGGAAAGAGTGGGAACTCTAAATGTAACTGACTACTTGTTTCCCTATAATCAGTACATTTCTGGTGTTAAATAAATGTTAGTATTAAAAATAGTGGTGATAAAAAGAGCTCTGGCCTTGGAGTCAGGAGGACCTGAGTTCAAATCTGGCCTCAGACACTTGACACTTACTAGCTGTGTGACCTTGGGCAAGTCACTTAACCCTGATTGCCTCACCCAAAAAAAGGGGAAAAAATAGTAGTGATAAAAGATGAAGCACTATTCTAGAAATCGGACTATATGAGCCACCCTGCTCTATGGGCTGTAATCTTGGATCACTTCCTTTTTCCTAAAATAGTTGGTGTGGAGGAGGTTGCATGGCAAGGTGGGGAATTATTCATACCATTTTACCATGGCTCCAAATTGTGAGGTTGAGTATCTTTCATGATGGATTGACAAAGGAATATCAAATACAGTAATAACTACAATACAGATTTCTCCAAAAATGGCAATAGAAAAAACCCTATAAAGCAGAGATATAGAGTGGCAAACATATATCTAAAGCCAAAAGTGAACATTACTGACAATGGCGAAATACTAGAAAACCTCAGGATGCCAAATACAAGAGTATTTGTCATTATTCTATAAATGCACACAACATCAGTAAGATAAAAGAGGAATTAATGGCATAAAACACAGGTAAATAGGAGATTAAACCATTCCCATTAGCTGATTAAATGATAGCTTCCTTAGAAAACCCAGAGGAATCAGTAAAGAAACAAGTATCTAGACACAAAATAAAAATAAACCCACAAGAAATCATCAGTATTTCTATATGTAACAGTAACACAATCCAAAAGGAACTAATAGAAGGGGAAGTCTCTTTAGAGGCAACTGGTAGTACAATAGATGAAGTGATTTTCACCTATTTAAAGCCAATGCATTATAATTTCCAGTAATTGAGACCATGCTTCTAAAAGCTGATGTACATTAATGAAAAGAACAAGGTAATCAGCTTGGCTAAGTCATCGGTGTTGCCTGGTGACTAAAACCTGACACTTTTAATTTGATGGATTTTTGAATGTTAGGAGAATAGATTGGTGGACTGGCCAGCTTGGTTGAGGTGCTCATTAGTTTTGTTAAAGTGTTTTTATTTGTTTTGAAAAAAATTGCCTGTTACAGGGGATGGCTCTCTCAGTAGGGATGAGTGGAAGGATATATTTGGAAATATTATGTTAAAAAAAAGTGATATTGGTAAAGTAAGATAAATAAAATGCTGCCCCTTGGCTGCTACCAGTGGGATTTTTCTGTTTATGCACGTTACCCTCCCCTGTTAGACATTGGGTTCTAATTTACTTTTTTTTTTTTAAGGCTATTGGGGTTAAGTGACTTGCCCAGGGTCACACAGCTAGTAAGTGTCAAGTGTTGGTCTGGGGCCAGATATGCTCTGAGGTCCTCCTGACTTCAGGGCCGGTGCTCTATCTGCCGTGCCACCTAGCTGCCCCTCTAATTTACTATTAACTGATGTCTGTGCTTTCATTTCCCAGGTGTCCCCTTCCCAAAGAACTTCATGTCAGTGGCAAAAACTATCCTGAAGCGTCTGTTCAGGGTGTATGCACATATTTACCACCAACACTTTGACCCAGTGATCCAGCTGCAGGAGGAAGCCCATCTTAACACATCCTTCAAGCACTTCATTTTTTTCGTGCAGGTGAGTTGAGTTGGGAAGCTTTTTTTGCTCTTAGACTTGCAGTATAGAGGATCTAGAGATGCTGTGTACTGTGGTTCTCCCCCCACCCCAGTACTGCATCTCCATGGCCATGAGTATTTTGAGCCATTCTTTCTAGGTCACTTTCCCGTAAAGACCTCAGCCCTTAGCCCAGTTCCTGGCACATACTAGACATTTAATAAATGTTTACTTGATTGTTTCTTAGCCTAAAACAGGCTCTTAGCATACAACATGGCAGTCCAAAACAGATCTAGAAGGTCCCATCTTATATGTACCAAGGTCAGAGAATGTGTGAATCCTCTTGGAAAGGTGAGAGCAGTGTGCTTAGTGGATAACCTAAGGCACCTCCAAGGCAGGCAAAACCAGATATTATAGCAACCAAATCTGACAGCGAATGCAACAGTCTACATTTTAGGCTTTTTTTTAATAAGTGAAGGTTGATTATGCAGTTTTATGACTGCAAGTGTGTCTGTTATAGTACCACATTCTAGAAAACCTTTAGCTATGTCATTAGGAATCAGGTGGATATCATTCAAATGATCTGACTTCTGACTTCACCACTCTACTGAAGCTGCTTTCTTCAAAGCTACCTGATTTTTCAGTTGTCAGATCTCATGGTCTTTTGATCCTCATTCTTCTTGCCCTCTCTCCTGTTGACCGGTCTCCTTCTGGATAGTCTCTTCTCCGGGCTTTTGTGACACTGTTTTCTGTCGGTTCTCCTACCTGTCTCAGTCTGCACTGCTGGCTCATCTATATCACGTTCCTTAACCATGAGTGTTTCCCAAGGCCCTGTCTTGGGCCCTCATTTCTTCCTTCACTCTACTCTTGCTTGGTAATCTAATCAGCTTCCATGTGTTTAATTGTGTCTGTGCATGTGAGATTCTTGAGCACCAGCCATGCACCTCTACCCCCCTATTGAGTATTTCAAACTGAACGTCTTTTCCCCCCCAATACCCAGCCCTCTTTAAAAAATTTTCCCTGGTTTGTCAATGGTATCTTCATCCTTCTAGTCAGTTATGTTCACAGTCTTGATATTATCCTTGTTTCCTCTGTGTCCCTTACCCCATATTTATGAAAAATTTCTGTAGAATAAAAATACATATAAAATATGTTAACCTCGTCTTTTCTCTGTCTTCATGTTATATAGGAGTTCAACTTAATTGACAGAAGAGAACTTGCTCCACTCCAAGAACTGATTGAAAAACTGACCTCAAAGGACAGATGAGAGGATGAAGGGCTGTTCCAATCATATCTTGCTTTCAAGTCAGGCTCTTAGGAATATATTTGGGGTTGTTACTCGGTTGGGTGGTTTGGGGATTTATTTGAGTTTATTTTCCTTTATTTTTTTTCCTCCTGAATAAATGAAAACCTTTTCTGTTATTTTAGAGGCAGCCAAGATCCATTCTCTATGTGTTTGGTGGAGCACAATCTTTTCTCTTAGACATACAGTGGTGTGGATGTTTTTTGTTTTTCTTTGGGATTTGGGGAAGGGGTGGAGATGGGGTCTACCTCCTTGTAGGTTTTTAGCTGATGCTGTGTGCTTGGCCCTACTGGTGGATGGGTTCTACATGGTGTAAATTGTGGCCCATTCCTAACATTAAAGACTTACCTTCTTAAGTGCCTTGGCAGAAGGTTCACTTCTGAGGTGTGAAGCGCAGATGTAGTAGACTGAGCATTGCTGAACACAGTGGACTGATCACTACCCACAATGCTTGGTGATGATGATAATGTTTCTGTTAGATTATCTAATTTTTAAAAAGCCATAGTTTGCCTAAATTGGTGATCTCCACCTTTTAATACATGAAGAAACAGAATTCTTGAAGATGTGAATGTAGATCTTAAAAAAAAAACCAACCCAACAACAACCAGAAATAACATTTGTCAGTAATTTATGTTAATGATGGTGGTGTTGCTGTATGTTACTTTGTTCACCAAATGATGAAAGTTCTATTATGAGCAGGTATTTTTCCGCCCATTGATGTCTGTGATGTTGAAACTGGAGGAGACTAGAATGTGTTCCCATTCTGCATGCTCCTCATACAGACACGTGCCTACACTTAGGTCATAAAGTATTTATTGCCACCTCCTGAGGTGATGCAGCCAGCCCTCTCTGGGAGGTTTCTCACCAGTTGCCAAATGAGCCATAAATCTCCTTCCACTGTGAAGAGAATAAAAAATATTTCCACTTAAATAATATTTAAGAAAGGCCCATCTTAAAGACCCATGAAACCAGTAACAAGGATGAATTTCCTTGTAAACCTAGTCTCTGAGAACCCTCCTCTTGTACTTAGAACCAACTCCCGTTAGTTAGAGAATTAAATACATCTTCACTCTCTCAGCATAGACATTAAAAATGGAGTTGAAGGAGAGTTTTTGGAAGTACTGGTTATTTTTCAACACTTCCATTTAGTGGATGGAGCTGTTGTGTTTGTCTCTAAAGAGTGACTACCACGTTTAATGACATATTCTTGTAATTGCTTGCTTCTGGCCCTTTTTGAAGGTTGGCTTTTTTTTTTTTAACTTCACCTAGTTTCTAGTGGGAAAGGAAAGTCTCTATTATGTGGTATAATTAAGTATTCAAAACAGTGACTAACTTTCAAAGTAAAATCAGTTTTCATTGAGTTCCATCCTTGTATAACAATTTATAACAAAACAGAATGTTTTGTGCATTGTGCCAACAGCTTTCACTTAGGTGTAGCTGTTCTTAAGAAAACCCCCAGCTTTCAGTGATCTGATGCCAGTCCTGGCCTCCGGGAGCTGGCCCAGTCCAGTCCTTCCCTACTGCCTTCTTGCACAATAATTCAGATTAGTAGCACTTTGGGTTTCTTTCCTAATGAACAGAGCAGTGACATGATGGATGTCACTAGCATCACTGCTATCCAGAACTGCCTTCGCTCCATTCCTGTTCTTGGTCCAGCATACATTTATCGAGTGTTAGCAGTAGACAAGTAATGCCTTGGCAGAGATGCATCCATCAGAGACTGGTAATATTTATATGGCACAGCAAGCAATAAGAGGCAATTGTTATACCTACTTCTCCTTTAAGGGAAAAAAAGTATCTTATAGTTATCCACATAGATATTAACTGAATTAGTTAATTCAGAAACAGCTGGGTGCCACGTGGTTTAGGGATCTACAGAGATCCCATCTGCACAGGAAAATAAAGCACAAGGTCACCCAAGTGGTCTTCCATATCACATTTCACCTTTGGTAAACCCCTGACAGCAGGCGTGCAGTAGCCAAGTGGAGACAGAATGCACCTGATAAACTTCATGCAGCTCTGTTATGCTGGGGTATGATTCTCTGAGTCTAAGCTAATAGTTTATAAGCATACATTGATTTCCCAGTGTTTGTAGATAGGCTTTTGTTCTCACTGTGCCAGAACCTCAGGTACCTGCCTCTGGGTACTCCTTTCATCAAAGACATTGGGATTGGAGGATGCTGCTACTGTCTGTGTGTTTTAAGTAGAGGGGTCCTCGGTTTGGCTTATATCCTTGGTTTTGTATCTGGCTAGAAAGTAGAAATTCTCGTGACATATAAAATCCGTTACTTTAAGATAAATTGTTTAATACTGGGTTTTTTTCCACGAGAGGTAAAATCTGTGTTGGCATCAAATTTTGCTTTACCATCAGAACTTAGAGGTCTCTGTTTTTCAGGTTTTTTTCCTTCCTTGACCTGAGTTCAAAAACATTTTTACTGTTCTCAAATATGTATACCCTTAAATGCCAATGGAAAGGTTAAGAGAATACTACCAGCTGTGTTTCTCTAAAAACAAAACAAAACAAAAAACCCAAAACATAGACTAGATACCCTTGGTTAAGTTTTAACATGATAGAAAATTTTCATGATTGAAACTTGTGGGAGTGTAGACAAGCTGTTAGTTAGCTGGATGGTGCCGCTGACTCTGGCTGTTTAAGGGCACTCTTTCCTTTCATCTTCATAGAAGCCATGCTGTTGAGTCATAACATAGGTATGAAGTCTGAAAGGTAGAAGCAGCTGTTTGGATAAGTGCATGGATTTTGGTTATCACAGGTTTACCCAAAGAAACTAAGCGCTACAGCCCCACACTTATTCTACTGGAAACAGAGATGGCATGGACGTTTTGAAAATCAAGAGGTTCCAGTTAGCTGTTGGCTTTAGGCTTTTCTTAAGTTATTTGGCTCCCCACCCCCGCTTGCTAGAAAGCTGTACCAATAGAAGACAGGTTCTTAATACTTTTCTGCTCACCGATGACTATTGAGGTGAGAACCTAAAATATGTGGAATCTAATAGTGTATGGCTAATTTTTCTAAAACCCCAAACATCTAAACTATTATATGCAATAATGTATTCATCCAAATGAGTGTTTCCTCATTTTGGGAGGCTGCCACCATCACTCCAAATGTCTGGAATTCCTCCTTTGGAACTGCCTTCGGAACCGGTTTATCAGCCACACCCGAAAATCTGTATCATCGCCTTATGTTAATTACATTATAACCACACCTTCATTTGAACTAAAAGTAGTATCATCCAGCTTAATTCTTAGTTATTGATCCTGCTTACCTTCTGGATGACTTTTGGCTGCTCCCTAAGATGACATCCATCCTTAAATTTAAGACAAAGACATGTGAACATGAATGGTGCTCAAAAGACTGTTACAGGTTCTGAAGGCAACTTGAGTTCCCAAGATGGTTTTCAACAATGACAGGATCATTTGAATCATTGTAGAGCCTGACAAGTGCACTTAACCTTGTTTGACGATAGATATTTTGCTAATATTTGTTTTTCTTTAAAAAAAAAAAGGCATTCTATTATCTTCTGGTCCTGCATCATAAAAACAAGTTCCCAGGGACTTTGGCATTCAAGGACTTGTACCATAAGGACCATACATCCTATTTGACACTGTGGGACAGTTTTGATTAGGAACTGGTATGACCAAATACCCTCATGGTTGAGGCAAAGGAGTCCAGAAGAAATACACTTGCTGTTGCTCATTAGTTCCTGTAATGTCCTCATTCACACAAAACAGTAATAAAATACTGGAGGTCATTGTATGTGAGAAGCCCATTACATAAACATTGTACTTTTAGTTGAGTTTGAAGCTTTAATCTACACAGCACTCCTGCTTTTTATTATACTTACTGCTTTTACTTTTGGATAACTTTTGTGAAAGATGTGGACCATACATGTAGTTATTCTTTGAAAACCTGGGCACATAAAAATCAAATCCAACTTGTTTTGAAACTAAACTGGATCTGTAAACAAATTGATCCTTTGAAACAGTTCTAGATTTCTGTATATGATAAGGGGATTCTCAGTGTTTGTTTTTTTTTTAACATTAAATATCAGAGTTTTGTGTGGTAATCTTAAAATACAGGACGGGGATCATTGTCTTTTAGCTACCGCTAGGTTTGTCCTGTGAGTTTTGGATGGCAATTTTTCGAGGTGAACTCATGATTGAAGAGGAGGTTTACGTGATAGAAATGGAACAGGAATTCTGAACACAGATCAGTCTATATTTTGTAAGACTGTCAAGTCAGGGATGTGAATTCCTTTAGGAAGTACAAAACTACATAAGGCTGTCACTGGTAGCTGAAGTAATGTTAATAGCTTAGGAGGGAGAAAAGGTAGCACAGTTCGGAACGTCCAGTAGTCCACGTCTCAGAGTTCCTTTTCTCCATATGGCCCAAAGGAGAACTCAGAAAATTTCACTTCCATAAGACAGAAACTGCAGGCACTGACTGACCTTAATGTATTCTTCCACTTTCTCTTTTTTCTCCAGGTAAGTTGCCTATGTGCTGCTATTAATTTTCAGTACCTCTCTTCCCCCTCCTCTCCTCCAGTCACGATAGCCAACATTCTTGGTGGAGCTGAAGTATGATTGATACGAAGGTTTTGGATATCGTGTTGGAAGAGATAATTCACATCCTTACTGATTTTTCTAAAGATGGCTTGTTTGGGTTCTATTTAAGAGCTCTTAAAAACATGCATCACTGAAGTACCAACCTCTGATGGATAAGACTGTTAGTGATGCCGTGGTGTTTTGTTTTGTTTTGTTGTTACTCTGTAAGACAATGCTTATTTCTCCTAAAAGAGAACTGACATTGAACTCTTCGACTGGGTGATTCTTGGTCTGCACATGTTTTCTCCTATTGCTGAAATGCAGTTCTTCTGAATGTCTCAAAGTTAATTTCAGGAAGTGCATTTTCACTTTAAGAATGCTTTCTCTTAAAATTACTCTTCATAGATTATTGTACTTTTAGGAGATTTTTAAGAAAACATCCATTAACTGTAGTTTGTTATTTTTGTACATGTCCAACTCTAGGATTCAGGGAGCACTGTCGTCCAGGGAATGCTTCTGTTTGAATTCTTCCTGTGTTCCGAGGGTGTGTTTATTCTGTTACCACTAGCTCCCAG